TTCTTTAGCTAAAAAACGTAACTTTATTACTGCTTTCATTTGTGTCAATTCTAGTCAAACTAACTTTCGGATTATAGACTCCAGTGCAACTGATCATATGACAAGTTGCTCTAATCTTTTCTCAACTTACAATTCTTGTGCAAGGAGCAAAAAAAAAAAAAAAAAAGGCGATGGTTGTGTCAGCAACAATTGGGATAGGATCCATTGATACATCTCCTTCCTTGACTCTGCATAATGTCCTTCATCGGCCGAAATTGTTTTGTAATCTTTTGTCAATCAAAAAGCTAGCTAATGGTCTCAAGTGTCGAACTTTCTATCCCTCTATGTGAGTTTTAGGAACTGGTCTCGGGGATGACGATTGATAGTGCTATAAAAAGTGATTTCTTCGAAGATGGAATGAGGGCATCGAAACTTTCATTATTTATAACACTTGTTTCTTAGTTTGTTTAAAACTAAAAGTCCATCTTCATTTCAGAGTGAGATTTGTGAATTAGCCAAACACAACAGTTCATTTTTTCCTTTTAAAACCATACCAAGCATCAAAATCATTTACATTAATCCACAGACACATATGGGGACAATCTAGGATTTCAACAATTCCTGGTAAAAATGAGTTTTTAGTTTCATTAGTGGTCACACGAGGGTAAGTTGAGTATATTTGCTAAAAGAAAAACCTGAAGTAGAAGAGAATTTCATTAAATTTTACACCATGGTAGAAACACAGTTTCTAGAAAAATAAAATTTTTTAGGAATGACCCTAAAGAATATTTTAACAAAATTTTAGATAATTTTTTCTTATAAAAGGTATGATGTATCAAAGTGCTTGCAATTACACACCTCTAAATAAAAAGGGATACAAATGTTATGATCTCATTTCCAAAAAAAATGTGTCACATTTTTTGAAACTCATCTTCAGGGAGAGACACTTATTGAAGATTTGGGATACTTAGATGTATTTCAACTAGAAAACACCACATCAACTTTTGATGAACTCATTCTATCATAAATACAACAATTAGTATTTTAACTAATGTAAACCCAGGTCTAGATTCTATAGAGCCATTCCGTAATCTTGATAGAACCAGCAATGGAAAAATATCGAGTACCAAAGTTCTTGTTTACTCGTGGAGGAAATAAATTCCAAGCAATGAGACCAATGCCCTCAGTAGATCGAGAGTCCAAACCCATAGTTGATCAAAACACCATTGAATCTCCAAGTAATTTCATATCGAACCTATCTAAGCCAATTCTACTAATTCCAAGTGTAGTCAATCCGAGTCTGGCTTTCCTGAACTTAATGTCCTCATTGCTAACTGAAAGGGTGTTAGAACTTGTACAAAACACCCTAGTGTCAAATTTTATTTCTTACAAAAAAATTTCACCTACCTTCTCTATTTTTACTTCACAATTCTCTTACAAGATGCCCTTCTCATGAATGGAAGCAGGCAATTCATGGAAGGAGGCTATTCATGAAGAGATGAAATAAAACATGGGAAGTCTTGAGAAAAATAAAACATGGGAGGTAATGCATCTGCTAAGAGAGAAGAAAACAATTGGATGCAAATGCATATTCTCTACCAAATAAATTACTTGAGCGATAAAAGCCACGCTTATGGCTAAAGGTTTCACTCAAACATATGGTATCGACTATCTTGAAACCTTTGCACATATGGTAAAACTAAATACATTGAGAATGCTTTTCTCAATTGCAGCCAATCTCTAGCCTCTATAGTAGCTGGACGTAAAGAATGCGTTTTTTAATGGTGGCTTAAAGGAAGAAGTTTACATGGATCTTCCACACGCTTTGATAAGGAGTTTGGATTGAAAGTTTGCAAATTGAAAAAATTTCTATGCAGATTAAAACAGTCGTCAAGAGCCTGGTTCGAGAGATTCACTCAATTAGTAAAAAATCAAGGATACATCCAAGGACAAGCCGATCACACTCTGCTCATTAAGCCCTTAACAAATGAGAAGATAGCCATTCTTATAGTACTAGTGGACGATATTATCACGTCTAGGGATGACACGGCTTATATGGAGCCATTAAAAAGGTACCTTGCATCAGACTTTGAATTAAAAACTTGGGATCATTGTAATATTTTCTTGGTATGGAGATAGCTTAATCAAAGAAGGGATTTGCAATTTCACGAAGGAAATGCAACTGACCTACTCAACAAAACAGGAATAAATGGTTGTCGTCCTATAGAGACTCCAATCGATCCATATCAGAAGCTTGAGGACAACAAAGGTGATCAAGTGGATACATCACGGTATCAAAAACTAGTGGAAAAGCTAATTTACTTGTCACACACGCGACCTAATATTGCATTTGCAGCGAGCCTTGTAAGTCAGTTCATGCATTCTCCTCATGAAGAGCATTGTTATTTAGAGTTTTTGGATAGAAATTATAGGGGCAAAATATGGTGTTACAGAGGGGGATGGTGCTCAGTTGAGAGTCGTGATTTTTATGAGGTGAGTTTGTGGCCGTATATCCGGCGAGGGTGGAGCGACTTTCGGGATAGATTGACTTTTGTAGTGGGAAATGGTAATACCATCAGTTTTTGGGATGATTGTTGGTGTGGAGATCAACCGCTTAAGGTGAGATTTTCATCTTTGTATCGTATTGCGTTGGTGCTGTCTGCCATGGTGAATGATGCCTTAGATGTACATAATGGGAGTTCCAGTTGGAACATTGTTTTTGGTCGAGGTTTGCAGGACTGAGAATTGGATGATTATACGCTATTTTTGACATCTTTGTACGAGGTATTCATCTGGCCAGGAGAGGGTGATTGTAGCAGGTGGAGGCGACACGAGATGGTATTTTTTCAGTTTACACTTATTTTAGATCCTTATTGGGACTTGTGGAGAGTTCATTCCCCTAGAAGATGGTACGAAAATGTAAATTGCCTCTACGGGTGGTATTTTTATTATGGACGATGGTCAGAGGACAAGTGTTAATGGTGGATAATCTTCGTACAAGGGGTTTTTATATTACAGAGTGGTGCTATATGTGCAAAAGGGATGGAGAGATGATTGACCACTTGTTCCTTCATTGTGATGCTGCTCGTTTATTGTGGACCGATATTTTGATGTCGCAACATATGAATTGGGTGATGCCGAGGCGTATGGAGGACATGTTAAAGACATGAAGAAAATAGTTGCGCGATAAGGATAGCAATGCTGCTCGTTTATTGTGGAACAATATTCTGGCATCGCAAGACATGGATTGGGTGTTGCCGAGACGCATGGAAGACATGTTAAAGGCATGGAGGAGAAAGTTTCTAGATAAGGATAACAAACTTGTATGAGACCTTATTCCGGGTTGCATCGTATGGTGTGCGGAGAGAAAGAAATAATCGCTATTTTGAAGATCTAACATGAACAACAGAGCAGATTAGAGAATTGTTTTATTTGACATTGTATACTTGGTTTAATGCTGCGGCTATTAGGCATATAGACGGGCTGCCCAATTTTATGTTGTTACTTTCTGATTTAAATTGATAATACACTTTCTGTGTATTATACATTGATTAATAAAATATTTGATGACTTTTTTTAAAAAAATTTTAGTTCCCTTGCATTAATAGGACTAGATAATAATTTTGTCTATAAATACGAAGGTATTGCACACTTTTACAATCAATTATTGTTCAATATATACAAGATACGATTGTTCAAATATCGTTATTATTTATTACATAATTCTTATTACAAGAATTTTACATATGCTTTCACATCAAAATTGGTATCAAAGCAAGGAAATTGCCTCAATCTGATGTTTGACTATAGTCCTGATGGCAATCAAACCGTCGACGACGAATGAAGGCTAGACAAACTCGAACAACGAATCGAGGGATCGATGAAACCCTTCACAATATCATGCAGATACTGACTATATTGAGTCTTGAAAGGAATTGCGAGCCCATGGAAAAGTAAGATGACAAGAATTTGCAGACTTTAACTACTATGAATGTCGGTTGTTTCTACAAACATAGAACACGATAACATGTGGCTAGAGAATTTCCTCAAGTCCTGCCAATTTCGAATATACACAAGTTATCAAGGTTTCTTTTCTTCAACAACACTTGATGACAAGTTTTTTCAAGTGGGAGAGATTGATGTAGAACAATCCTATTGTAAATAAGATAGATATTTATTATAAGATGTCTAGTTGTAATAAGTTTTATTTTTTTATTCTTATTTCTTGTTTAGAATATGATTTCTTTTCTTTATTGATTAGAATAAGATTTCTAATTTCTTTTAGATTAGGATTTTAGTTTATTTTCTTTTAGAATTTAGTTACCTTATATTGATAGAATTAGAGAATATTTTTGCCTATAAATACAAAGACATTGTATACTTTTTCAACAACAATCAATTATTATTCAATATATACAAGATATTATTATTCAGATATCGTTTTTATTTGTTGCATAATTCTTACTACAAGAATTTAACATATGCTTCTGCACCAGCATTGAGGCATATACAGACGTAGATTGGGCAGACTCAGTCATGTATAGAAAAATCAGCAAGTTATTGTACTTTTGTGTGAGGGAACTTAGTGACTTGAAGAAGCAAAAAAAATAAAGTCTGGTAGCTCGAAATAGTGCAGAAGTATAATGCAAATCAATGGCTGATGGAGTTTGCAATAGTTAGGATAATTAGATCACGAAATTAGTTACTGACTTCTAGGGATCAGTATCTAGCTTTATTGTTATCTTGTTTTCTGTATATTAAAAAAAAATATAAAGAAGAACGTATCGATCTTCATTAACTTTTAGTTCATATTCATCCCTTAAATTAAAGGATTATTTGCTACTTGAATTATAGTTCAGTTCATATTTATCCCTTAAGGGATTATCTGTTACTAGAATTATGTTATTCTATAATAGATTTGTTGTCATGCTTCTCTATATATTCTAGCGTTTTCCATTAGTCAAATAATAAGAAGAGTTGAGATTATTTCTTGCAAACTTATATAATCATTAATGATGCAGATCAAAGTGGAAAGCTGGAATGTATATATGTAATTGCAAGAATTGGACCCAACTTTACCATATGTTGCAGAGCTGAAAGTCCTGCCTCGATGAATGATTTACCATTGTGGAATTTTGAAGACATGACGGAAACTATTCCTACTAAGGATCCAGGTCTAGCATTTTCTGGTCAGAAGGCCATACAGGTTGAAGAATCGGAACCACAAGTGGATCTAAAACTGGATTCATCTGGCCCTGCATTAGTTGGAGAGAGCTTTATTTTACCCGTGACAGTTGCCTCTAAAGGCCATGAAATCCACTCTGGTGAGTTAAAGATTAATCTGGTAGATACAAAAGGTGGTGGTTTGCTTAGTCCAAGAGAAGTTGAGCCATTCTTGGCTGACAATTTACATGTTGAACTTGTTGGTATATCTGGGCAAGAACGTGCGGATCATTCTGAAGCTAATATTGATAACATTCAGAAAATCCAGCCATCTTTTGGACTGATTTCTGTCCCGTTTCTAAATGTGGGGGACTCCTGGTCCTGCAAACTGAAAATTAAATGGAATCGTCCCAAACCTATCATGGTTTATGTCTCGTTAGGTTACCATCACAGCAACGAACCTAGTTCTCAGAAAGTTCATGTACATAAAAGCTTGCAGATTGAAGGTAAGACTGCTGTTACTATTAGCCATCATTTTATGCTTCCATTTCGGCGGGATTCTCTTTTGCTGTCAAACATCAAAGCAAATCATGATTCTGATCATACACCATCACTAGCTCTTAATGAAACAAGTATTCTTATAATTAGTGCAAAGAATTGTTCAGAAGTGCCACTGCGGTTGTTGTCAATGTCTTTTGATGTTGAGGATGATGATTCAATAACCATACAACCTAAGGAGGAGAAATTTAGAGAACCCATTCTTCATGTGTCCGGAGAGGATTTTAAAAAGGTTTTTGCTGTCATTCCAAAGGGAAATTTTTCAACACTAAAGACCGGGGCAGTTAGTCTGAAATGGCAGAGGGATTCTGGGTTACGAGAAGATTTTCATTCTTGCTCTGCTTCATCTCAAGTTACAAAACACAGGCTTCCTGATGTCAATGTTGAGCTACCTCCATTGGTTATCAGTTTAAAATGTCCGCCTCATGCCATTGTTGGGCATCCATTCACATATTCTGTTACCATTCAAAATCAAACAGAGTTGCTCCAGGAGATCAAGTATTCATTGGCCGATTCACAAAGTTTTGTGTCGTCTGGGCCTCATGACGACTCGACTTTTGTCCTACCAAAATCAGAGCACGTTATCAGTTACATGCTTGTACCTTTGGGCTTAGGTTATCAACAGCTTCCTAAAGTTACCGTGACTTCAGTGAGATACAATGCTGGTTTTCAACCCTCAACTACATCATCTACTGTCTTCATCTTCCCCTCAGAACCTCCTTTTTCAGATCAGTGACATTGGAGAAACAAGAATTGAGTGTGTTACCGAGTAGTGTTTTTGGTAAGAAAATTGTGTTATGGTATAGTACATCTTAGCTTCTGACAAGCAAGAAATATCACTTATTGATCGGTTCGATCTTCTTTCTATTCAAAAGTACAGTGAACACAATGTTGAATTGGAATCAGAATTCGATTCTGGAGTGCTTTTCAATCACGGCCTCTACTCCGAGAGAAGGCGTTGAAATTCTGACACTTGGGCATAATCATTGTATACGTGCCAAGGTGGAAACTGTTAGAAACTAAATATATACAAGTGAAATTTTTTTGTAAGAAAATCTGTTTTGGATTAATTATGAAGTCCTAGTTCTTTCATATTCTTGGTTGAGAAGCCAAACTGCTAGATGATAATGCATATCTGTATATGCAATGTGATTATTTAAGGACCAAGCAGCATGGGCATCCTCTCAATTCTCTTCATTTTGAAATTCTGTCAGGTTTGTTCTTTCGAAACCGTCTTCTTAACGTTAATCCTCGACCATCTTATTCTGTATTCGGTATGCTAAATGTTTGGTAAAGCTTTTTGTAGATTATTGGAAGCGGGTCCTATAGAATGTGAGGATAAAAAGTGGATAAAAACTGTTGGTCATACTGAATGTATGCATAAATATGATACTTGAAAAAGCACTGCCGAACACGCTCAACGTTTCTAAAAATTACACTATTTTTCCTCCAATTGAGCTTGAGGCTAGTTGTTACGAAATCAACAATTGGACAACTAATCAACTATAGTGAATGTCACGTAGGAGACAATTCTATTATAAATATGATAAAAGTAAGTTATTTACAATAGTATATCTATGATAAGATTTCTAGCCGTAACATGTTTTATTTCTTTTTTTTTTTTTAGGAACTTTCCTATTTTTGTCTCTTTTTATTCAACTTTTCAATTTTCATTTCTTCCGTTTTCATTTTTTGATAACTTTAGAACTCAACACATTTCATTCTCATCTTCACATTCAAGTCTTCTAATCTTATATGGTTATATTACATATTAAAACCCTAGGAAACCTTTAAAAAGTTTAAAACAATTGGGGAATTACTTGCTAAGATTTTTTAGGGCCAAAAACTTTATATTTATAGATGCAAAACATTAGTGGATCTTTTCACATCTTTCGCAAACTCATGCTACGTGTATTAGCCTATTTTGACACAGCTCTAATAGCTTCAACTTCTTAGAGTATTTTGTTGAGCGTACTTTGTTGGAAAATTTCGTGAATGGAGTGATAAACAACGTCGGGAAATTCTTCAAATTACATTTAAGATTCTGTAGAAATTTCGGCAGAGTAATGGTATGAAATAAATCTTAAAAAATGTACAATATAACGACAATAATATCAAAGTTGAGACAAGTATTGAACACTTTGTCATTAAGTCAAATTTGCCCTGCAACATGCCTAAGGTTTATGGCAATCAACTCCCAATATACGATGACTATCTTTTTGTGTGAGTAGCATTATAACACACGAGAAATGGCGAACCAGAACTTGGTTTACGAACTCCGATATGTAAAGTGAAGAAAATAAGAATTTATGTAACGAGAATTCAAGAATTTGGTTGAGAAATGAGAGAAAATGAATGCTATATGATTGCATATCATTGGTGTGAAGATTGAGACGTCCCTAGGGTCCTATTTATAGATGTTGAAGGGTTGTGGACGAAGTAGTGCGAGCCAAAACACAACAGCCGCTAGTTTCCAGATTTTCGTCCGCTGTTTGCTCGCTACGTCGCTCGAACGACACTTTCAGTGAGCCCATCACTCGCTGTTCGCTCGAACGAGCAACAGTGTCATCCGATTTTCCACATTTTTTCCTTCCAATTTTGGACCACAATTTCTCATTCATTCAGAATTGATTTTGAGACACTAATTATACACGAAAATCAAAATTCTTTTTCGGGGGCGTTGCCCGAGCCCCCTCGACCCCGGCGACCGCGACCTGACCGGGCAGGTCGATCCCCATTCTTTCGGGGGGGGGGGGGTGCATTTTGAAGCGACAAAGAACAAATAAACGGGTTACGTTTTGTACGTTTTGGCCGAGTTTGACATGAAGTCACACTTTCCAATGATTGATTTTCGATTCTTAACCAATCTTTCTCGTGTTTTAAACCAATTTCCAACATACTTTATTTTAAAAGTAATGCAACCGACCAACGCGTCTTCAAATGAAGTATTTAGATAATTAACTGGTCTTGTGGAAGTTCGAGTAGTCATTGATAAAGTAAAACTTAATGGAATAACAGTTTTTGCAAGTCATTAGATCAAGGCAAATTTTTGTAAATCAATTTGCTATAGCAAAAATATTAACCAAAATTGTCTTGAGCTTGAAAGCTTTTTGAATTTCTTCATAAAGAAATCGTAGTTCTAATGACCATGCGCATCACGTGTATTTGCGTCGAGTGGCATCATGATTATTGATTATAAATTGGAGTGTGACACAATAAGTGGAACATAAGATGATGTCAAATATTGAAATGCATCATCATCACAATTAATCCCCACTGGGGAAAAGTTCGCACATCATCTTTTTAGTAGTCAATTGTAAGTGAAAATACAAATAATCTAATCGAGAAATGAGCAAATATAGATTTAGCAAACATTCCTTATACAGAAAGTCTCGTTTTTAAAGGCAGCTGCATTTTCTTTTTTGAAAGACTGCCTCTGAAGAATGAGAAGCAAAGTTACGGCAAAATTCATAATCTTTATCCTAATTAAAATGATAAATTTCCACTTGATTTAATTGGAAGTCCCACAGTTGGTGAATATGTGACTAGGGACTATATCTCCACCTTACATTCTTGATAATGGCTATAGAATTCAAAAGGCTGAGTTTTTGGTTTCATTGGGACCATGCTATTCATTTCTTTTTTCCATGCACGCTTTGACTTTTGTTGTGAGTGGATTTTCTGACCAAGAAATCTACAGAATAAATTTCCTAATTTGTAAAGAAAATGGAACGACCACCTTTCCTTGTTTATCTTCAGTTTAACAAGTGGCCGACCACCAATTGCCACAAATGTCTGGAAAATTTTCTCTGCAGTTGCAGAACTTTCAATGAGATCTCAATTGGGTCGGTGAACTTTAATCTAGTTTCAATTTCAATAAAACTTCAATTTAGTTTCAAATTTCACCATACTATCACATTCGGTAAATAGAATGTCCTCTAAACTGACGGAAATTACTTAATTTCCTTAACTATATGTGACACACTTGAAATGGAAATGTTAAAATATGCTAAGATTAAGAAGTCAAAACATGTTCGTATTTTAGTGTCTTTCTGATGTTAAGTACTGGTAGGTTGGCATGCTGCATATCGATGATGTAAAAGATTTGTTGTGATCTGATGGCAAAATCAAGCATATTTCACCAATTTGGTAGATGACGTGATAAAGTGGGTAAATTTGTAAATAAATTTAAAGTTCATAACTCAATTGCTAATTTGTTGAAAATTGAGTGTCTGCATATGAAACTTAGCCACCAATGTTTATAGGGAAACTTGTAACTACATCAAATTTTTGTTTTGGTAAGTCTCATGTACATGTGTGTTATTCATAAGAATTTTGAGTACATAAAGATTATCTTGCTTTAATGTTGCGCAATCATGTGCAGCATTCCCATGTTCTTTTATAGTTGAAAAAGATTAAAGAAATTAAAATCAAAAATTTATTTAGCTTCCGTGTTGACCCTCATTTCTTAAAATCCAGTTTTCTTCAAACTCATTTCCAACCATACACGTGACTCACAACTTTTATCAACTTTTTAACTGCACATTTTACCAATTTTATCAAAATTTATTTAATTTTTATCCAAACCAAACAGTTGCTATTGTATTTTTAGTTTTGGTCAATATTGCGTACCATAACTTCTTATCCATAATCATCTCATTATTTCCAAGCAACATAATAGGAAATGACATCATGATGATTTGATGAGAGTGATCGCATCAACCAACCCAGGGTAAGATCATTGGCGCACCTTCCTAGCTCAGCATTGTAGCTGATTTGATTGACAATGAGAAGCCATTTCCCCTATAAATAGAGAAAAATGGTCTCCTCCGAAGGCATAGCTCGACTTGCTTTACAACTTGGATTCAAACACTTCATTCTCACTTCTCTTATTGGTAAAGTGATTAAGCACTTGTATTGAAAGATTGCCATCAATAAAAACACATTTTTATCTTAAAGTTGGCCCAGAAATAATCCTAACAATTTTTCATGTCAACAGTTTGGCGTTAAAAGGAGGACCCTCCTATGTAGGCAGCCCTATTTCTCTATAAAACCCACGACAAAATATCAACATGAGCTATAGTTCAGTATTAGGGAATCAATCCCACACTAATCTAAATAAAATCAACGCCCCACAAGATTTTCGAAGGGGACATGGTCAAACTGAAGCTAGCAATCTTCAAATGACCATTATGAGAGAAGATATTGGAAAGTTGACAAACACAGTCAACAAATTGGAATGAAATAAGGCTTATAGTCCCCTGCACATAACCGAGGTGGAATCGCCAACCAGGGAAAGAACTAGACGACGTCCCACTAGGATAGCCCTCGACTTTTCGATAGAAGAATCTTCCAAAAGACGAATGACGAGGTCAAAAGTCCTCTCCCAACAACAAAACTAGTCACTAGAAAAGCAACCGTGTGTTTGACAGATTAGGCTCTCAGCACTCATTAACGCCTTGAAGCGAACTCGCTGAGCTTAATCTGAAACTTCCATTGGAACGGGTGGAACTTGAAATGAGCGCCTTAAAGAAGAGCATTGTCTTCATGGAAGACATTCTTGTTGAAGTTTTACCTGAAAAATTGAAGATGCCATAGTTGACTAGGTACGAGGGGGAAAGAGATCCCCTTAGTTACCTAGACAAGTACACTTCGTGGATGGAACTGCATGGAGCAGGTGACACCATCGTGTGCCACGCTTTCCTATTAATGTTGAGAGATAAAGCTTAAAGGTGG